GAAATTGTGCGTGGATTTTCATAATGTTGTGATGAGCTCAGTTAGAAAGCAAATAATATATCCCACACTGCCTATAGATGTAAAGGTATGTCGTTGAGAGAGTCAATGGGACCACGTCATACGCATACAACAGCCTTGGATTGAGCGACCCGCTCGAATGATGAATTATTATAAAATAAAAACAACACATCGATTTCTCAGTTTTTCCAGGGAGTGAAACTTTATAATTCCTAACAATCCGAAACTGACGAAGTTTTCGGTGAGGCATGGAGGTTTCTGAGCTCACCCCTTCTCCCAGTGCTCTCTCCGAAGAAAGCAACAACTGCATGAGCTCCCCCACAACGGGCCTCCCGAGTCTTCGAGAAAGCTCATCGACTCCTTTAGCGGTGGTTATCAACAGGCGAGCGGTGACCAGTTGTTCTTGCGGATCGTGTACACCTAGTTCGCGGAGTTGGCCGCGGAAACCTGAGAATTTCGGATTCCTCGAAAGGGAAGGTACAGACAACGTACGAGTGATATCAGAGGAGTCCTCCTGTTGTTGTTGTCTTGGATGAGACGGAGGTGTGGTAACGACATCAGGCAGGTGGTCACTGATGTAGAGGGGAGTCTTGCTTCGGGTGACTGTGCTCGCAGCGGTGCCGCTGGGGGTCGTACAGTTGAGTGGCGAAGGCAGGCTGGACTGGGCCGGGGTGCGTACGGTACTGTAATACATGTAACCTCCTCCACCTGAGGGGGAAGATAGAGAGCATTATGATGCTTTCGGGGAGTTACCTTCGGAAAGTGTCGGAGGAGTGGTATGGCTTGGCGACCTTCTTCGATGTAGATGAGGATGAGCGTCGACTTCACCATAATATTGAGGTTGGTACTCATCCTAGGAAAAGGAAACATGAGCGATGACTAAGGGTCTTGTTCTTACGGTAGAGGCACTGTCGGCGACGGTTGGGGTCCATATGGAAGTGGGCGTAAAGCAGGGGGCGTTGATAGCCTTCTCACACCAGCTCGAATCGTGTTGTTGGTCTTGATACGACGTCCAGTCCCGACGACCATCCTGAGGTAGAGATGGGGAGTGTCGAGGGTAGGGGAAGGGTACGGTAGGGTCATCGTCGAGACAACTGCGGCAGTGGTTAGTGAGGGTACCGTGGACGCTTGGGGACGGACTGAGGGAGAGATGGGGGAGGACGGAGGGGGAATCATAACTCACCAAGTAGTGTCGCTTTTGGACCTTCTGGGAAGGCCACTGTGAGTGATGTAGGACTCGTCGACGGAGCTCAGAGAAAGACTGCGGCCACCTGATACCATAACGGCTTGATTGACCTCAAATGGAAAGATTCGCTGGGATTGACGCGTGCGCAGAATCTTGGGTTGATCTTGAAAGATACAAAGTAGGCCCGATCGAGGTCCATCTCGCTCCCTCTCACCTTTATCGTGACCGGAGTCTGACCCTTCTAACATGTCGAGAACAGGAGTGGCCATCGAACTCGTTAAGGATAATAGCCTTATCGACCTTGTGAGCAGCTACCTGCATTTCCTTAAAATCTTGCTCTCTTACAGTTCCTCAACGGCGTGACAGCCGCCACCCGAAAAAGGGACAATACAAACTTGGGAGATTTCCAATAGACCTTAGGGGACTACTACTATGGGAGCACTTCTGGGCATTCGGTGGGGTCAGCAGTTCTCTACTGAGCCTGAGGACCGCTTCTAAGATCGCCTTTTACATGTGAAATCCAATTCTTGAAACTGTGGAGAGGTCAATAGAACCGATTCAATTCGAAATGTTTGGTTTTGAAACGCATGGACTGGACCTTCCTCTAGTCCCTTCGAAGACTGACGTTGACACGTCATCTCAAAACTTTGGGTTTTTCCTCGTGAGGAGTTATTTTCTTTTTCCCCTTCGTTTTTTCACAATTTGTGATTCCCTCGGTATGATAGTCGGCAGTAGCTGAGTATATGTAATCGAGCACCTGAGCTCGGGAGTTTCCTGTACAGTGTTGGAGTAGGAATATATGTAATCGCTTTCCTCACCTGAGCTCAGGAGTTTCCTATACAGTGTTGGAGTAGGAATATATGTAATCGCTTTCCTTAGCTGAGCTCAGGAGTTTCCTATACAGTGTTGGAGTAGGAATATATGTAATCGCTTTCCTCAGCTGAGCTCAGGAGTTTCCTATACAGTGTTGGAGTAGGAATATATGTAATCGCTTTCCTTAGCTGAGCTCAGGAGTTTCCTATACAGTGTTGGAGTAGGAATATATGTAATCGCTTTCCTTAGCTGAGCTCAGGAGTTTCCTATACAGTGTTGGAGTAGGAATATATGTAATCGCTTTCCTTAGCTGAGCTCAGGAGTTTCCTATACAGTGTTGGAGTAGGAATATATGTAATCGCTTTCCTCAGCTGAGCTCAAGAGTTTCCTATACAGTGTTGGAGTAGGAATATATGTAATCGCTTTCCTCAGCTGAGCTCAAGAGTTTCCTATACAGTGTTGGAGTAGGAATATATGTTCGCTTTCCTCAGCTGAGCTCAGGAGTTTCCTATACAGTGTTGGAGTAGGAATATATGTAATCGCTTTCCTCAGCTGAGCTCGGGAGTTTCCTATACAGTGTTGTTGGAGTAGGAATAGTAACTTTCTCGCTCAGCAGACCATCTGTGTATTTTGCCACATTTATTGGAGACTCCTATTAGGGTGTTGTTGTATCTCCTTCTTCTTCCTCCTCCCGTTTGTTGTGTGGGGTCCTCCTCCTCCTTCTCTACTACTAGTATTAACATCCAGGAGTTCTTACTCTGGCGTCGAAGTACTGTCCAACTTGCCTCTCATCTTCTACCACAACAGACTCGAATCGCCTTTTCGAGTTTACCCTCTTATTGGTCACCGAGATTGAAAGAACGTATAGAAAGGAAATACATTACTTCGTCATCGATGACCGAAATAACAGGTGAGTATCTTAGGTTGCCCTTTGAAAGATACGGAATAGGCCCGATTTATGCCATCCTTTGTTGTAGCTAATAATGCAGCCCAAGCTCTTCCTCGCTACTATGCG